GCTGGAAATCCTAGCAAGTTATTATCTCCTAGGTACCAGGCACTTTGTCCATAAAATGACTAATTCTTTCAACCCTACCACACAGGCTTATAATATTATTTCTAGAGAGAAGCCAACAAGCTCAAAGAGGTTGACTGGCACAAAGCCAGGCGACCATGTCGGAGAGCCAGTGTTCTGCCTGCCTTCTGAAATTTCTGCTTTCCCTATTATGCTCCCTAAAACCAACGGTAAGCCTGCATCAAAATCACAAGACTCCAGTCTGCTTAGGATTGTGCTCTTACTATTTTAGCAGAAGACTGAATAAAAGCAGGCTAATAGCACCAGCATTCCCAAAGTATGACAAGATACATAATAGAACACTAAACGATGCAATGCCAGAGCAATTTAACACTGATCTGACTGATCTTGGTTTTAATTTTGCAGGGTCTTTTTATCTTCCTCTTACCTTTTATTTTTAAGCTGAAGGTTCTAAAAACATTCAGTTGGAAACCCTCCAAAAAGAAGCAATTCCATATATGCTGATAAAGTGTGAATTGGTTAAGTTTCCTAGGGGTCAAAGTGGCAGTAACAAAGGTTTTTTTAAACTGGCATGCTCTCTCCACTAGCAATTCTACTTCCAAGTGTTTGTTCTTAAGGAAATATTAAGAACACATAAAAGATTAGTAACGCAATGTTCTTTAAAGCAGTTTATTAGTGAAAATTACAAACAACCTAAAAATCAACAGTAGTTTAATAAAATGTGGCACATATAATGCAATACCATGCAGCCACTAAAAAGATGTAGCAACACATTTGACACGAAAGGACAGTCATGGTATTATCAAGTGAAAAAGTTACAAAACAGTATGCACAAGTTGATCCCACTTTTAAAAAATCTATAGGAGCATGAGTCTGGGAGTCTATAGACCTAAATAGCAGTTCTCCCTGGATGGTGGTATTATAGGTGATTTTTATCTTTTAAACTGTATTTTCACTTCTTTCCTTTGTATCAACACATCTGACTTGAATTATTAAGAAAGCACTAACAATTCCTAAACAGTCTCCTTTGAAGTGAGAATGAGAGCAGAGCTTGGCAACCTGAGTCACAGTGAGGCACGTTAGTCTGATGTCACTTAGTGGCTGTCAGGGTGCTTGGATGTCGAACTGTCACTGTCCTCACTGGAATCATGGGTGGCAGTAGTGCTTACCATTCTTCAGACTGAGAAATCCATTCCTAGCACCTCCCCACAGCCACCACTGGTATTCCAAGCAGTATTTCCATTACTTAGCTAAGCACACCTCCACCTTCGTACCCACTTATAATATAGCTTAGCAAGGTTTCTCTAAACTTAGGACAGCACTGTTTTTGGTACAGGTGCAGAAGGCACTGATTTCTCAAGTGATGTCAGATAATAGGTCTGGAGGTGAGAGGTAAGTTTTCTTTGTTCTTTACAGTGGAACAATCCCACCCCTCCCCCACCCTTGTAAAAACAAATTGCTAGGTCCTACTCCCTGGGTTTGATTCAGTAGATCTTGGATAAGTCAGCAATTCCATTTCTTTCTTTTGTTCAGCATTTATTGAGTATATAACTATATGCTAGGTCTTGTGCTAAAACTGACCAAAAGATTTAAGGTCAGAATTTCAGGGAGCCTACATTCTTAAGTGATCAATATATACTAAACAAATAAATTATAAAACTAACTATATAATTATAACTTTTGACTAGTGCTAGAACACAGTCAAGACAGTTTTTGTCTTAGAATTTAAAAAATGTGTCCTGGCCGGTATGGTAAGTTGGTTGGACTGTTGCCCCACACACCAAAAGGTCGGAGGTTTGATTCTCCAGTTGGGGAGCTTGTGAGAGGCAACACATTGACGTTTCTCTCTCCCCCTCCCTTCCTCTCTTTGCAAAAAAGCAATGAAAACATCGTCCTTGGGTGAGGTTAAAAAATGTTGCACAAAGAACTAAGCCTAGTTCTATAGCCCCTTGAAGACAAAAATATCAGTAAAATAAAGGCAGAAAAAGTACTTGGAAATAAGAATTAGCACTGTTAACAAGTTCCTAGCTGATGCTGACACTGCCTGTCTTGGGGTCCCCCACTGAGAACCACTGTGCTGAGTAAACTTTCTAATCAGGACAATGTGGGGGAAAGCATTAGGTGTGCTCTTGAAAATACCTCCTCCCCTTTCGAGTCTCATGAGGTAAGAGCTACTTACTCATCTGGAGGAGGGATTGAGACAAAGCTGGCTGTAGGTCAAGTTGCAAAGCCAACCATCTATTATGGCTCCTCACCCAGGCAACATGTTTAAAAATTTCAGGCAGTTGGGAGGCACGGTAGAGACTTTTGAAGAGCCCTGCCCACAAAGCGTGGAGTGGCGCTGAGCCTAAGCAAACAAAGCTGTTGCTTCCTACCCTGCACTCAGCTCCTGCACCTTCCCCAGTTTACCCCCGAGATGCCCTCCCAACACCAGCTCCTATACTCACACTCCACTTGTTTGTTCTGGTGAAAAGTAATAGCAGACGATGATGATGGATTCTAACCTTGGATTCAGGTTTCTTATTTCACATGGTACCCAGAGTGAGGCACATGCCCATTTTGGGGACCTAATCTACAATATGAATTCTAATTAGCACCATAAAAAACTATTTAACACCATGGCCTTTTAGGTTAGACTACTTTGAGAACAAATGTAGAGATGATCCAATCACTTATTTTTGTTTGTAAAAGAGCCTACAACTATTTCCAAGTTTATCTTATTCACATGTATAATTTTCAAATGCATATACTATACCCAAGCTCAGGGGCACAAAGTTTATTTAAATATTTCTAAATTGCACCACAAATTAATAGGCTTCCCAAGCTTTTCTTCCACGCCTAACAACAGTTTTGGGCCTTTTCCTGAGTAAAAATTAAACCTATGACTTTATATAATAAGCCAAAACCAAAATAAAACAAACCAACCCCCCACAAACAAACAATCACACACAACCCCATTAAAATAGAAAAATAGAAGAACAAGTTCACACACATGTGGTAGATTTGTGATAGACAAAGGCACAGGAAGCCTTTGAACCTTAATATTATTGAAGGCTAATGTACATTACTGGGTCACTATAATCCATATTCACTTACTGGGAAGCAGAAGCTTCTGGTAAAAACGTACACTGACTGTGGTGAGGTTAAACTAGACCTGAGTCTGATTTACAGAGGGTGGCGGATGGAAGAGATCAGACTGTGCGTATGAAGGAGGCGTCTCTGGCACAGTCATAAACGAGGCCTAGTCTTGGAAGGCCAGGAAGCTGCAAGGGCAAATAAAGGGAACATAATATTTAGAGAATGTTTCTACAATGTGCCGAAACGTTCCCTAAAAATTGCCCAGCATACAAGATAATAATAACTTTAAGGTGGCACAATTATCTGCATTTTACAAAAAAAGGAAACCACAGTTTATACATGATTTGAACCAAAGTTCAATGAGCACAGTATGTGAAGATGGGGTCTGAACCCAGGACCATTCCATTCCAGTGTCCATACTCTTTCCCCTCCGTTACTCCACTTCCTATGAAACTAACCGAGAGCTCCTGTTTAAGTTGGCCTGAATTTTTTGGAATGATCTTTTTAAAGCCTATATCTGGACTTATATAGTGTAATAGATAGCTAGGCTGTCTGTAGAACTTCCTTTCTGGGGGAAAAAAGCTTTGCGCGCTTGGTTCAATAGTTAATGTACTAACCATCTTGAGCAGCTTTTGGGGTTAAGAATATGGCCATTCACCGTATAAATCAAAGTGTCTTGTACAACTATAAAATGGCAGAGGAATTTGTCTCATAGCACCAAAATAAAAGGATAATAACTACTGTTAAAGTTTGGACTGTGAACTAAATTATCAACATGTTTACCAAGCTCTTATTAGAAACTGTTAAACACCATTTTCAAATATCCTTTTGTGTTAAATATTTATCATTTTGCTACATCAACATTCCCTGAAGACATGAGCTACACACATATTTGTACTTCACATGCACTAAGCCTGACTGAGTGAACTACTTCTAGCAGTAAGAATGTGCTACATTCTTTTGGCTCTGGCCTGGCACATCTTTTTCCCTCTGAAACACTTCCTCTCCAAATCCCCTCCCACTCATCAAACCCAAATTAGGTGACTCCCCACAGTCCCCAGCACAGTCCCCTATATTTCCTCTATCATATCATATCAGCACCGATTCTGCATCTTCTTCAGGGTAGTATGCCCAATCAGTCACTATCGTACCTGGACCTCAACATGTATTTATGAATGAATGAATGACTGCAGAAGCCCTAACATGGAAACGATCTGCTGATTCATAGCAGTGGTTCAAACAGCAGTCTTCTGATTCAAAGTGTGTCACTGATCATTTTAGTTGTGTGTTTCATAACTACAGATCCTGATCAAGATAACCTAAGTTCATTAACAAATTTTCAAAAATTTATTAGGAGGCTCAGAATAACCAAAGTGGGTTGTTTGTATACAATTTACTCTACGATGAATGGAGTTGCACTATTCTGTATTTTTATAAAGATCTGTTGTTCAATAAGAACAATTTCTCTTTATTGCAGTATGTTCTTAATGAGTCCAATTCTGGTCATGTACTGAATTGTGTCAACTGAATAACCTTAAAACATTGCTTAGTGAACTAAACGTGTCCCAGATGTTTTAGAATCTTTACCTGCAAATACACCACAGAAGTATGGTAATGCTTTTCAAAGACTAGTTGTTCTTAAATTTAAAAGAAATCATTCAGTAGTGTTTAATAAAATAAACAAAAACTCCCCCAAATAGCCCATCAAAACATGGTACTGAAATCATTCAATTTCTGTTGGAAAACAAGGTAAACATGGCATAATTGCATTTCTGTTCATGGACACATTCAGAAACATATTCTTCATAAAAGAGGCTTATATCTTAGATGTCTGTTCACACCAACAGTTAAAAACAAGTTTTAATTTTATTCTTTGGCTACACCTAAAAAATGAGTCATTGATATCAATTCACAATAAATTTATTTTACATAGAAGAAAAAGCTTGCCATTAATGAAAAATTCAGTAGAAAACAGTTCTGCTTTAAGTTGGGGCTCAAAAGTAGAAGCTGCTTATTAGTGAAACCTCAGTAGAAAGAGAACTTTGTAAGAAAACATTCTTGGCATGAAAGCTCTAACATAAATTCTGTAATCAAATAGTTACCATGCAAGTTTATTGGCAGAAAGCCGGTTTCTGATGGCTGGTATTCTCTTTGCAGTCTCTTAAGACATTAACATGGAAGATACTAGACCTGTTTTATTTAGAGTTAATTGTATATAAATAGGGTGTCATGATGGATAACTTTTCCACAGTCCACCTACTTAATTGAGCAGCTCTAAGTAGGTAATTGGCACCCTGCCCTTTTGATTTCCCCTTTCCCCCATCAGCCAGTCTGAATCCATCCCAGAGACACTGAACACAGTGATCACCTACAAAATAAAAATATTTCCAGTTACTATGTTAAAAAAACAAACACATAGAAAACTCATCAGATTTGTATTTAATTCAAATATTCACTATCAAAGGAGTTTCAACATTGTTAATTTTGCTGAAAGTTAAAGGATTATTTTGGAGGCAGGTTTAGAAATCTTCCAGTTATTTATCAGTTAAAAGCTTAAAATATTTGTGTTGTTCTATTTTATTAAAGAATAGTAGTTAAAATCTCATAAAATGTTATCATAAACATCTGAAGTCTATGAAGTCATTCATTATAAACTACTTCCAGTAAGTACCATGCATTTTGTTATAATACTAGAAGGTATGTCGATCTACAACACAATATTCTTCTTATACCCACATTACTCACCTCATCTGCCAGAAGTGATAATTCACTGCTGTTTGCAGCATCATAATCATACAGCACCCTGGCCTTCCTGCTGCCACTGCCCTCCTTAAGATCAATAAGGTTGGAAGGAGAGGTCATTACTAGGCCACTTGTTGAAGTCAAGGCAGAAGACCCAATCACATTTGATGAAGCAGATGGTACAGGTGCCACAGAAGTCTGATTGTTGTTACAATGATAATTGGATGGAAAACTGTTGAAAAGGAAATGGCTAATTACTTATTTCTAAGTGACCAAAGCTCCTGAATACCACCACTTGATGGCAGTATTTACTTTCTACCAACCTCCACTGTGGATAAAGACTTTTGGATGTTAATATTTTAATGACAAAGTGTGCTGTCCAGGTTACCCTTCTTGCAGTAATTTGTGACTCCTCTAAGCCTCACACATGAACTGTGAGCAAGTCCTGCTGACTCTACTTATTTTAAAATACACAAATTTGACCACTTCCACCAGTGACCACAATCACTGACTTGGGCCACAACCACCTCCTGAGTGACTAAAGCATGCCATAGGTTCCAAACAGGTCTGCCAGCTTCTACCCTGCCCTCTAAGATCTATCCTCAACATGGCAGCAAGAATGATCCTGTAGGAGGCTAAAATCAAATCATATCACTCCTGAGCTCAAAACTCTCCAAAGGATCCTCATCTCTGAGTAAAGGCCAAGTCCAAACAGTGGATTCCAAAGCCCTCTGTATCCCCGATTCATTTCTAGCTGAGCCCCCCTTGCTGTTGCTGGGACATAACAGCTATATTCCTGCTTCAGGGTTTGTGCACTTGCTGTACCCCTCTTGCAGCATCTTCTCTCAGGCGTCTGTACACTTTGTTTCCTTACAGCTTCTTCGTGTCTTGTCTGACTACCGCAAACCTCTACCCCTAACCAAGGTACTCCTCTGCTGTACAAACTCCACAGCATTTATCACCTCATAATATTACTATATAATTTACATATACACTGATTTTCTACTCCCCTCTAGCCACAAATAAAACACAGGTTCCATGAAGGCAGGGATTTGGTCTGTTTGGTTTACATTATATCCTTTATGCTTAGAACAATACATTTTTAAAAAGATTTTATTTAATTATCTTTAGAGGGGAAGGGAAAGAGAGAGGAAGAGAAATACAATGTGTGGTTGCCTTTTGTGTGTCCCCTGCTGGGAACTGGCCTACAACCCAGGCATGTGCCCTGACTGGGAATCAAACCATGGTTGTTTGGTTCCCAGGCCCACGCTCAATCCACTGAGCTACACCAGCCAGGGCTTAGAACAATACATTTTTGAAAATTAAAAGCAAATGTTTCTCTGATGAATAAAAGAGTTCTAGTGATAAAAAGAATTAAATTCTAATTCAGGTTCTACTCTAAAAAACATATTTCCCAGCATCCTTTCCTGAATGGACTCAGTCCTCAGCAGTGATTAAACATACACATTTCTGAAGGTTAAAAAGAAGAGCCTTCTCTCCCCACAAGAAGGGTTTTTAATTAATGGTAAAAACCAACACCAACTAACCACACAAAAAACCTGAAAGGCCATTTTAACCTTCTAAGAATGTTTACTGAAACAGTTAAAAAAACTAGATTTCCTAGTGTAACTTGATATGTTAAAACTCCTAATTATTAAAAAATAATATACATTTACTATTCTTTTGACTTGTGTTTGTTTTCTCCTCTGTAGAATGTGGATAATAACAAGACCTACCTCCCTGGTGTGAGGATTATTACATTATTACATATGAGATATCTAAGAAAAGCTCTTAGTAAGTGATTGCTGTTACTCACTTACTACTAACCCTAAGAGTCATTGGTATGACAACCTGGTTCTACTCTTCAGAAATAAGTGTGGATCTGGATGATTTTCAAGTTCTGCATTTGAATGTTTCTATATACTGTCTTAAAAAGCATAACCTGCAACAAATTAAAGACCTAAAATTTCTCCCACCATCACTGGTCATTACCAGGAATATAATTCTCCAAGGGCAGAAAGACAAGCTAGCCATTATTTCCTAGAATAGCACTAATTTCACTTTGTAATGTTTGAGCTTATCCTAAAGTGCAGCAATAACTAGACTTTGTTTGAATGGCTGAGTTCCAAGCATCTGTGTGTTTTTAAGCACAGAAAGCGAGTGTGAATGGTAACAGCAACACCTCTGCCACACTCCCAGGCTATTAGGACAAAGCAAAAAGGAACTACTAAAGTGTCTTGGGCTTAAAATAATTGTAATGATGTGGGGAAGAAAGTGGTATCTACTTTCAGATATTAATACCACTAATAAAACTTCAAATACAACAGAAGTGTAAATCCTTCTTTAAATACTATTAGAATAACTACTGGTATTAGGCTGCAACTCATAATTAAGATCTAAAATGAATTTTGTAAATGTGCCTGATTTTGTTCTAAGCCTAGTTTTGAAAGATTAATATGCAGAAAGGAAACCAAAGTTATAAGGGCATTTTTGCCTAATTCCTCCAAATATCTTCTCTCTCTCTCTTTTTTTAAAAGATTTTATTTAGTTAGTTATCTTTAGAGGGGAAGGAGAGAGGGAGAGAAACATCAATGTACGGTTGCCTTTTTTGGGCGTCCCCTGCTGGGAATTGGCCTGCAGGGAACTGGCCTGCAACCCAGGCGTGTGCCCTGACTGGGAATCGAACTGTGATCCTCTGGTTCGCAGGCCTGTGCTCAATCCACTGAGCTACACCAGCCAGGGCGAAACATCTTCTCTTGATATTCCTCCTTCGGATGTTATACATCATTCCCCTGCTTTCACAGTTGCTCGCTATATAAATCTTAAACTCATTACATTACTCAGTTTAAAGGGCATTCATGACATGGCCCTACTTCCCTCTTTTAGCCTCATCCCATTCTTAACTTGAATATTATGCTTCGACTAGAATAAACTACTGTTGGTTCTCTGAACTTGCCACACACTTTCCTCTGTCCCTTTTATACATGTACAGTTTTGAGCACACAGAAGCTTATTCTTGTATTATTAATTATTGTGTTATTTTTCCATATGAACAACTGTAAACCTACTTTTGCCCCACTGTGTATTCTTCCTTTGCCTGGAATATATGAGGAGGGACCCAAATAACCCTGGAATTATCTTCTGGAGGGCTGGTCCGTTGAGGTGCGCTTCCCCTGCTAGGTGAGTGTTGTAGGAACCCATTTGTTGTCAGTGTACCACCTGGTGCTGTTCTGAGAAGCTGTTTGAAGACTCAGTGCGTTTGCATATTTCATGATGGTTGATGCACGAGTGCACCGGCTCACACCTTGCTGAGCATTCAGCAGTTTTTGACCAAAAATGGTGTGACATCCATACCTCACTCCCCATATTCACCTGATCTTACCCCAAGTGATTTTTTTTTGTTTCTCTAGATAAAAGAAGTCCTCAAAAAGAAATGTTTTGCTGATGTGGAACAAGTGAAACGAAAAACCATAGAAGTACTAAAAGGTAACAAAATTGATGAGTTCAAAAACTGTTTGGAGCTGTGGAAAAAAATGTCTCCATAGGTGTATTGCATCAAATGGACAGTCCGTTGAAAGTGACTGAAGTTTAAACATGTAAGAGTAAATATACGATTTTTAATAAATAAATTCCAGGGTTTTTGGGTTCCCTTCTGGTACACCTCTGTCCCTGTGTTCATCTAGGTTACTCCTACTAAAATAATTTCATCTGTGAAACTTTGCTAGAACCACCTGAGTCAGTTAGCTGTCCCCCCTCACAGGAACCTGCACTTTCACCTTGCCACTCACCACATGGTCTGCCCACCCACGTCCTGTGTTATGAGAGCAGAGACTGTACTTGTCTTATATATCATTGTATTTCCAGTGTCAGCTTATAATATAAGGAGCAGCATGAGGGCAATAAGCAATTTTAACATTTCTTTTTGCCAAGTTTTGCTGATCTAAAATTAGTTCAATGATATTTGAACTTTAAATACTGAGTAAATATTTGGCAGGTATTTAATAAATATTTGAATGAATGAATGAGCTGTATGCTTTATACTCTATCATCTTGTGTTAATGTATATTAAGATGCTCAAAGTAGTAACATCAATGGACTTGAAGTCTTACATTATATTCTAAACCCCTTTTTAAAAAACAGTGAACAAGTGAGGAATAAGAACAAATCTATCTCTAGGGGCAGCTATGTGTTGATTTACTTTATCTTCCTTAACCAAATGCAAAGATATTCAAGAGAAAAGTGAACTTCAAACACTTTTAAAGCTTTCTTTCTGTAACACTAAAAAGGCATTCACTTAAATTACCTTTTCATACCTGTTAACATTCTTCTGTGCCAGAAGAATTCAAAATGTTTTTGTAACCTCAGAAGTCTGACACTTTCTTTCTTTTTAAAAATCTGATTTTAAGCAAGCTAATAAAACCTTTAATTTTCCTAATCTTCACTTGTATTATTAGTTTATGTGCAAAAATATGAATTTCTTTTATCAGAATTTCATGTGTGAAAGGAGATTACCACCTTCCCAGTTGTTTCTGGAGGTCCAGCATATATTGGTAACACTGTGCATAGTAAGTCATCTGGGCTTCCACAAAGTCATTCAGACAGCGGAGGTGATGGGCCTGTGGAGGGAAGATAGTCACTTTTCAGCTTTATAATCTATTTCAAGTGGTAAATCATAAGGGGAAACAGAATGCAACACTACACTCAAGGAGAATCACTATTATTTAGCAATTTACTACTAGACTTACTAAGATCAACCTTGGTCAACAGTGTAATAACAAAATGTTTAGAAAACAAAAACCAACAATTGGTTGATTATATAAGGTGAGAGAACTAGGTGATGAGGTATAAGCAAAAATTAAAAATATTTCTTCATATATCATAAAAAGTGTCACAGTTTAAATTTCTCTGATAAACGATTAAAAAGGAAACTCAGGCTTTCTTCCCCCAGATGCCTTAGGACTGTCAAAGCCTTTTGCTCCAAACGAACTCCCAACAAAGGAACACTCACGTGCGTGCTGCTGATTCCCTCGAGCAGAAGCCTGGTGATCTCTGCCTGACGGTCAAATTCACTCTGAGTGATTCTTAACTCCTGTTCAGACTTAAATTGGAACACAGTTTTAGAACCCCAATTAGAGGATTTAGTCCATTTTACATATATTTGCGAAGACTGTTAAAAAAATCCCCCAAACAAATCCCAAATGATACTCTGGTAATTCCCTGACTGTGCTTTGTATCTAAACTGGCCCCTGGTTTCTAGACCTAAGTTTTTCTATATTACTCAACCTAGAGAGAACTGATTCCTTACCAGAACTTGACTCAAAAGACTCTATTAATGTCAAAGCTTAAAGCTATACACATAAAAGCCTGGAAAAACTGTGGGACATTCAACGTATTTCCAAAAGTTCTCAATTATTACTATAGTTACTTTACTCTGAAGTTAATGATAGCCTTTAATCTCAAAGAACTGCTTCAGACTGAAATTACTTTTTGTGTTTAGTTGCCAAACACACATTTGTTTCTAGAAATACAGTTTTTAGGTTCCTTCAAAGCATTCTCTTTTCTACATAAATGTGTGGGTTTTTTTAGTTTTTTGCCAGACTGTGCATAAAATATGTTTTAAGCAGAAATATTTTCCATAAGATACCCTAGGCGCCAAATTGCAGGTGACCTTTAATCAGTGGTGTGCTGAAGTAAACTGGCTTTCTAGGAAAAAGAGGCACCACTGTGCTGGTTTTCATGGTAAAATACTCCTACTAGGTGAAGTCCCTGAACACCTGGAAAGAGCTGTGTGTGTCACAGTACACCACTACTAGCTTCAACCACTAGTAAAGGTTAGTGCCGGGACAAAACAGTTCACTAAAAAATCAACATGATGTAAAGACAGTAAATACTTGGCAAAAACCATCTTCTCAGACCTTTACCAAAAGTTGGTTGGTAACAAGTAAGGAGGTCACTCAAAATAGCTAGCTCTCTCTCCTTGGGAATCATCATTGCTAATGTCATTTTCTACTTCCCCAGAAAAAATAGTGTCCTACTCCCAACCAAATAATTATAATATTTAAGTATAAAAACAAGGACTGAACTTTTTCCTTCACACCCCATCTCCCTTTCCTTCACCCTTGGTGATAATAATTAATTTAGTGAACCAGTCAACAGAAAATAGCAGCAAATAAGATAATCAGTTGCTATAATTACTCATTTCATTGGCAACACACCTGGCAGAGGGGACTAAGAATTGACTACTAGATTGGATTTATAAACTTAAATTACTCAATAAGTGTTAAACTTAAATTTACTTGACTGAAACCAGAATGAATACATGATGCTTTGATAACTGGGCTAAAGTAAGCTTCTATCTGGAAGCTAGTCAGAAGTGGAAAAAAGTTCCACAAGAAAAAAATCAATGTTTTTCCTAAGGAAATGTTAAGGAAAATCAACCACTTGGTGTTACATTTGTAGTATTTACTGTTCTGCTTGCTTGGATGCAAAAAAGTTTTAACAGAAGTAACCATAACAAACCCACCCACAGGAAGTAAATGAGGCAAATTCTATGTAGATCTTTGATTGTGCAAGTACAACTTGATTTTAATAGCCTTTAATAGTAAGGGCAAAAAAGCTTACTAAATGGCAATATTTCTGTGTGAGGTATAAGCAAGGATTCTGGGTAGCAGGTTAAAAGTAACCCAGGAGAGCTTGAGTCTGAGGTGGAAATAATGTTTTAAAGCCAAAACACTAAACAGAAAATGAACATAAAAAGACAAGAGATCAGTCTTTCATGTTTGAGCAAAATTTAATTATTTAATTGTGAAGAAAGGCACTATGTTACAAAACCTAACAAGTCACTCTTCAGTAGTATCTAGACTTTATATTTAGAAAAGGTAAATGACAGCAAGGCAAAGACTCCCATTTCTTTTTTAAACAAGTTTCAGTGTATGATTCTGGCAGCTGCAAACAGGAAGGTTCCAAATCATTTCTACTTGGACACATAATTCGTCATAAATAATTTAATCTGAGAGGCTGAGGTTAACTGAAATCGGGTTTGGTGTAATCAATTTACCTAGGAAGAGAATGATCCACATTATACAGGTAAAAAGGGTTAAAAGAAAGACAATAAATTTAAAGGGTTTTTATTCTGTCCGCCAGATCTCATTCCCTATCTTAAATTCTACAATTTAGATGTAGAGTTCTAGGGAAAAGACGTAATGCTTTGAATTACTGCTACAGGGCTTACTGATGTAGAGAATATGATACTATAACTTGGATTTAAAAAGCAAGAAGAGTTCTTTTAAGAGGCAAATTGGAAAAAGGGCAAGAATTTGTTGGTCTCTGGTATCAGCTAGAAATTTAGGTCATACACTTGCAGCGACAAACTTGGTCAGTGTTACTTTTTTTCTATGGGTTTTAAGTCTTGAAATATTCCAGAAATATACATTTTAAATATTAAACATTTAAAAATTATAACAAAACTGAGATTTATAAGAGAAAACTGCCCAAATTAATTTTGATATATTTTTAAGTTCCTCTCATACTTACATATGTAAGTAATATAAGTATGTGCTTTATGAATTTCTTCCCATTACATCAAATATTTCCCAAACTTGTGGAGAATGCAGAATCAGATCAGAATTTCTTGGAATACCTGCATGCTAACCAAAGTGGAAGAGACCCTGGTTTTCCTGTTAACCTGCTTTCTTATCTATGTTACTACTGTGCCATCTTTTCATGCTAGATGTTCAGTAAGAAATCAGAGGCCAGGGTGAAACTATAACTAAATTGATGAATGGATTCTATGAAGGGGGATGAGAGTGTAAGTTAAGAATTTCACATTGGATTTTCAAGTCATAGAATCAACAGTTTCATAACCTATGTATGCACAGAACAGACTGTATAGTCAGTGATCCTACAAAGTGAAGAAAATAGAAAATTAAAGTGTATAAAACTATTAAAAGTCAGGAACCACAATTACCACCTGCCCTCAATCCCCAGTATGTCTTCATCTGAGGCCAGATTTTGGTAGGCCTGAGCATAAAAAGAAATGAAAAATGCTTCAGAAGACTTCCAATGGCATTTGAAAAAAATGTACACTAAAGTCATACTTTATTTATTAAATTCTTGCTTAGTTACTTGATTTCCCAGCCCGAAAAGATTAGAAATGGTAACACAGGCTAGCAGCAGTCATATGGACAGCTTCTGAAAGTGACCATTTGAGAGCAGTGTACTTCCAGTCAAGATGGTGACAGAGGTAAACACAGCTTGCCTCTTCACACAACCACATCAAAATTACAACTAAAATATAGAACCACCATCACTCAGAACCATCAGAAATTGAGTTAATGAAAGTCTGACAAGTACAGAATTAAAGAAACCACATTCATCCTGACAGGTAAGAGGGTTGAAGATGTGGTACAGGCCGGTCCCACATTCACCTGTGGTGGATAAATACTTGGGAGGGACATCTTGGGAGCGAGGAATCCCAGCCCACACAGGCCCCCCAGCCCAGGATTCCAGTGCCAAAAAGGGAGGCTCCCATAACTTCTGGCTGCAAACACCAGTGAAGACTGAGTTGGTGCAAGAAAATTCTAGAGTCCCAAGCAGTTCCCTTTAAACAACCCACACATGGACTCACTCAGACTTGCTCCCCCTGAGCTCCAGCCCTGGGGCAGCAGCTTGAAAGGCACCAGTGGCATAGAGGGAGGAACCGAAATATCTGGCATCAAGGTATGAGCTAGGGGGACAGCTTTCTCCCAGATAGAAAGGTGGGCAGAGGCCATTGTCCCACTCCTGAGCCCTATCCCCTGACAGCCACAGAGCCAGAAGGCAGGTGCCATGCATCAACCTGGCTAACACTGTGTGCCCAACCCTGGTGATCCCCTGAAACTCTGTCCCACCCAACTTATGGGCCCACCCAAACTGTTAACTGTGACTTTTCCATATGAATCGCTGGTCTTTGTTCATGCTTCACAACTTTCTAAACCTATCAAACAAGCAACAGACAGCCTTAGTAAGCCCTCAGCCCCTGCACCTCTTGCTAAGTGGCTCCAGGCTTGGCACTAGCAGCAACCAGCCCAGATTCACAGCTTATCTTTGCCTAGGAATCTCCAAGCCCAGCACAAATAGCAGCCATCTCAGATTGCTTTATAGGTCAGGCAAGGTGGCCCTGGGCAAAACACAGGTAAGGGACTGACCTTGGCCTGCACCAGCTGGGAAATCCCAGGGCCTGCAAACGCACTGGAGCACCTAGTAGCTACAGACCACATTGGAGCACCACCCTGACCTTGCACAGCTGATCCTCCATGGAGGACAAGGTTGGTGGTCAGCAGTCACAGCCAGTCCTTGCAGCTGACTGACCTGAGTAAATTCCTCCCACTGACCTGCCAACAGCCATCAAGGCTCAACTATAAGAGCAAGATACACTCAGCCCATACAAAGGGTACACCTTGAGTACCCAGCTTGGGTGATAGGGGAAGCTGTGCCACTGGACCCTGTAGGACACCTACTACATTAGGCCACACTACCAAGATATGGAGTAAAAGCAGCTCTACCTAATACATAGAAACAAACACAGGGAGGCTGCCAAAATGAGGAAACAAAGAAACATGGCCCAAGTGAAAGAACAGGTCAAAACTTCAGAGAAAGGGCTAAACAAAGTAGAGATAAGCAATCTATCAGATGCAGAGTTCAAAACACTTGTTATAAGGATGCTCAAGGAACTTAGTGAGGACCTCAACAGCATAAAAAAGATACAGTCAGAAATGAAGGATACATAATTGAAATAAAGAACAATTTACATGGAAACAACAGTAGAGTGGATGGAGCTGAGAACCAAATCAATTATTCGAAACAGGGAAGCAAAAAACACCAATCAGAACAGCAAGAAGAAAAAAAGAATAAAAAAAAAATAAAGATAGTGTAAGTAGCCTCTGGGACAACTTCAAGCATTTGAACATTTACATCATAGGTGTATCAGAAGGAGAAACAGCAAGACACTGGAACCCTATTTGAAAAAATAATGAAAGAAAACTCCCCCAATTTGATGAAGAAAATAGACATGCAAATCTAGGAAGCACAGAGTCCCAAAGAAGATGGATGCAAAAAGGC